TTTGCAAAATATTAAACATCCTCCTCTATTCGCAAACAGATAAAAGTTCATTGACCCATCATAATAAATTTAATTCTGAATTAAACATAATCAAATTTATTTTTAATATATTTTTTATTTATCGTTATTATTAGTAAATACCCGGCATTTAAATCAAATCGTTCCGGATATCATTTTAATAATTTATTATATATTTATAAAATATATGGAAAAATCCTTTTTTCAATTCATGCTTAAACTAATAAATAAATGAATAAAATTTCTGTCGTTGACATCGTTACAGTTTTTGATTTAGTTAATAAAACTAATTTTTTTTTTTTTTAGTTTCTAAATTGAAATTTAATGATCGATAATAATAATTTAAAATTTTTTTAAAAAGAGATTATTATTATTATTATTGGAAAAAAAAGAAAATACATCGTGAGATGAATGAATTTTTTAAATTTTCATTTTTTTTTTTGAATTAACTTCGTTAAAAAATTTATTAGAGCATCGAAAAAAGTTTTTTTTTTATCCGGTTAAATATTAATATTTATTTTTATTTATGTATTTAATAAAATTTAAGAGGTTTACCAATACGACAAATAACGAATTAAAAATTTTATGTTGCATATTATTATTATTATTATTATTATTATTATTATTATTATATATTTTCCCAACTAAGGGAGTATAAATTTTTTTTTTCTCTCTCTTACTTTATTTAATTATTTACCGGATACTACATAGTTATTATTTAAATAAATACAAAATTTTTTAAATTAATTTTTCCAAAGTACGAAATTATAAGTTTTACAACATCTAAAAACAATAAACAATATAATTAAGTAGAAAAAGAAGAGAAAAAAAAATAATATTCAAGATGGATAATTACAAAAAAAAAAAAATTTTTTAAGTGATTGTATATTATGTGCACTACTTTATTATTAAATATTGAAATTAGTGTTTGTGTGTGTGTGTGTGTATTTTTCTTTTGTTTTTGTATAAAAAAAAATTTTCTTATAATTACCTGATACAAAAATTAAAAAAATTCCCGTTAAAACTTTAGTAGTAAAACCCAGTGATTCTCATTAAAAAATAATCATACCAAATGTTTATTATTATTATTATTATTAATTATAAAATCGGTTAGAAACCTATTTATTTTGTATGTATTTAAATATAATGAATTTCGTATGTTTAGTATATCACACACAGTCGGATTTGTTATAAACAAAAAAAAAAAAAATAATTTACGCCCTTTTTAACAGGAAAAATTTATATAATGGCGTATAATTAAAAAAATTTTTGTAATTAACATTGTTTAAAATCATTTTTTTTAAAAAAATAGTTTTATTACAACGTTCATTTAGTAAATATTTAATCGTTTTTTTTTTTTTTAGTATAATATGGATTTTATATTTTTATACTAAATGATCCCCATATTTTTTCTTTTTCAATTATCCGATAAAAACCGTTACGAACGGAACATATATTTCAACGGCTTACATAAATATTATTATTATTATTACGATTTTTTTTTATTTAATAAAACCTGTTCGACAAGAATTTGAAATCGTCATCATCAAATGAACGACATGTAAATTGTTATATTTTTCATACCTAATTAATAATTTTTTATTAAAATTCATTATGCGATAAAATAAATAGAACATGTTGGTCATATCTCCCTTATAACCGTTAGATTTAAAAAAAAAATTACGCTTAAATAACCGGGTCAAAAAAAAAGGAACTTTCCCTTAAAAAAAAAAAAAAAATATTAGTAGCAATTGAAGTACTAAAATAATAATAATAATAATTATAATCAAGTAGTAGCAAAATAATAATAATAATTCAGGGGGCAAACCGTAAATGACTTAAATGTCAAAGAAATATATTATTATTATTATTATGATAAAATGTAATATCCACGTGACTTTTCATCTCCTCATTAAATGTATATCTCTCTCTTTTTCTCTCAAATAAAAATAAGGTTAAAAAACATACCTATTATTATTATTATTATTACACACCTACCTCAATATATGTACATCATGGTCTTCTTGTAAATGTAAACATTTCATTAAGAACGTAATTTTTAGTCATTATATATATATGAAATTAAAAAAAGTTGTAAAGGAAATACTAAAGCAGGTGACTTTTTTTTTGTTGTTTGTTGTTGTTGGTTGTAACTTAAATATATATAACTGGAAGTTATGTTTTGGTTGGTTATTACAACCGTTTGTTGTAATAAAACCTAATTATTTGAATCACGTAATTAAACAACTTTGCACCTTTCTTAACTTAAAAAAAAAAGATAATTAGTAATTTAACGTTAAAAAATATAACCCCTTTCACAAAATTTTGGAAAAGATGAATTATCATTATTATTATTATTATTATTATTATTATTTTAAATGTAATAAAAGAATCAAACAAACAAACAAAAAAAATTTTATTTTAACGGTCTTTAAAAAAAAAAAAATGTATATATGTAAAAGGTGAAAGGTATGATTTGTACAGCTAAACTATTTTATATTAAAAAAAAATTTTTTTAAATAATAATAATAATAATAATAATTAAAGTGTTTTTTTTTGTTCCTGTTTGATAATTTTACGAGTTAGATAGATATAATAAAGCTTACGATATTATAAAAAATTTTATGTTTGATTGATAAAAAATTTTCTTGTTGTTGTGATAATAAATGTTGGTTAGGATTTTTATGTTGGAAAATGCTTTCGTTGTAAAAATTACCTTTTTATCGCCATTTTTATAATAATCGTGTTATCAAAACTTGACCAATTTTCACTTAGAACAAACATAAAGGAAAGGTTTTGATGATGCAAACAATAAAATATTAACAACAACAACAACAACAACAACAAGAAAATTAGTCAAAGATTTGAAATTTTTAAATATGATTGCAGTTAATAGAAAATATCTTTTATGTTAATAATTTATTAATCAAATGACTACCGACACGTTTAATATACCATCATGCACGAAACAAGTTTTTAACTATTTTTAATTTATTTATTAATTACGTGGAGAAAAAAAAATGTCTGTTACACTAAAAGTGGCAATAAAAAAAAAAAAAATTAAATATTCAAAGCAATTAAAAAAAAAAAAATTTGGTTTGATGGCACCAACCGTTACCAGGTCGGTGATACATTTTTTTTTTTTTGCCCGTTAATTTGGTGGATCTTTTTAAAAAAATTTTTTTAAGTAAACTTACGTATTTCTTACATATAAACGACATTTTTTTAAAAGTTTAAACCCTTAATATTAATGTAAATAATAATTAAAAAGTTTTAATTTGAAACCTTTTCGAAAATTCTATTTAAAATTCACTTTGGGTAATTTAAAAATTGCCCTTTGACCTTGGTAAAACCTTAAGAAATCCGTTTAAATTTGACAAAATGGTTTCGATTGATTTATATTATTATTATTATTATTATTTTATAACATTCAGAAGAAAAGTCAAAGAAAATATTTGAATACATTATGTAAATTTTCAAAATATTATTCGTTTGCAAAAAAAAAAAAATGGTGAGGTCAAAGTCACAAAGGAAAAAAAACCATTACATTGAACAACCGTTTTGTATTTTAAATTTTTTTTCACCACGTGAATATATTATTATTATTATTATGATAAAATAATAATAATAATAATAATAATGTAAGAGAGATATGATTCATATAAATTTTTGATGATGATGATGCTGATAATAATAATAAAAAACAATTAACCCTTCTTCAACTTTCTTTCCTCCTCTTTCTTTCTTTCTCTTTCCCTCTCTCTCTCTCTCTCTCTCTTCCTTTCTCTCTCTCTCTCTTCCTTTCTCTCTCTCTCTCTCTCTCTACTTTATTTTTGATAATGATCTTATTTTTATTAAGTGGCCTCAATTAGTTACTTCATCCGTAATAATGTACCACTACTACTACTACTACATAAGTAGCGATGTACTCTACTCATATTATGTTAATAAATTTAATGTAAAAACATTTTTGGATTCCATTACGATTTAGCTAATGGCATAATAATAATACTAATAATAATAATAATAATAATATTCATTAAAAAATAAAAATATTGTTTGTGATATAATAAAAAGATAAATTTTAAAATTGTTTTAGTTTTTTTTTTCCTTCTACTACTACTTGAAACATAAATTTTTGTTTAAAAAAAAATTTGTATATATATTTGATTTGTTATTAATAACTTAAACATTTGATATTATTTAAATTAATTAATTTTCTTTCAGGTTTTGTTCAAAAGAAGAAGAAGAAGAAGAGGGAGGAGGTAGAAGAAAAAAGAAAAAATATGAATCATTTTTTGTAACGACAAAAAAAAAAAAAAAAAGAAAAAAAAAGTGAAGAAATTTTTTTGATTTGTGTGTAAAATAATAATGAGTTGACGTAATTTCGTGAAATAATAAATTAATAATAATAATAATAATAATAAATAAAATAATCGATATATAAAAACGTTATTAATAAATTTAATCAAAACGATGGAAAATAATAAAATTTATTTATTATTTGGATTTGTTTTTGTCATTTTACAAGTAAGTGCAATTTAATTTTTTTTTGTTTTGATTTGTTTATGAAATTTCTTTTAAATAATGTTTAAATTTGTAAAAATTATGTTTTTCCCCGCTCCCTTCCCCCCCCCCCATAACTTTAAAATTTTACAAACTCTAAAAAAAAATTATTCATTAAATTAAAAAAAAAAAAAAAAAAAAAAAAACGAGTACAAAAATATTTTAGGTTTTATTATGTGAATACGTGTAAAAGTCACAGACAAAATCGATTTTTTTTCTTTTTGTACAAAAAAAAAAAGATGTCTCTTCGAAAAAAATTTAAATTTTTAATTAACCGTTGATAATAATATATATTGTAACAAAAGATAGAAAGTTTATAACAGTAACAATTGATTTTAAGTCGTTTTTTTCTTTTACTTTCTCATAAATGATATACTTTTGTTTCTTTCAAAAAATAAAATGTCTTCTTAAATATTTTTACTCCTTGAAAAAATATAAATTAAATAAATATTTAAAAAAAAGATGGGGGGTGACGGGGGGGACGTATTTGCAAACGAACAAACAAACAAACAAATTAGTCACCCGTAAAAAAATTTAATTATTATTTTATCAATAATAATAATAATAAATTATTTGTTTAAAACAATAAAATCCATAAAATTCATCATCATCATCATTTTAAAAAAAAAACGAGAAAAAAAAGGCATTACAAACTCGAAAAAAAAAAACAATCGAATAAAATTATTTTATTGTCTTCCCCCTTCCCCCCGGAAAAAAAAAACATTTTGCAAATATTATTATTATTATTATTATTTTTCGTATCGGAAAATAAATAAATATATTCAAATAATCGGATTTAATCAAAAAGAATCCGTTCTAAATTTTTTGGTTCACATAATTCGACATAAAAATTTTATTATAATTTATTTGTTATGTGCTATTTAAGACGTACGGTACTTTTAAAATTAAAAAAAAAACCCACTGAAAACTTTTTTTTTTTTTTTTTATGTTCCATTGGTTGGTTTTAAAGTTGCGAATTTAATATTAAAAAAAAAAAAAAAATACAATTAAAAAAGCGGAAGAAAATAATAATAATAATAAATGGTAACCTTGCCATTTAATTCGCCGTAATAGTAACCTCAAAATCGGGAGCAAGGCAAATGGGAGGGAAAAAAACGGACCTTGACCATAACATTGAAAAAAAAAATGACCTCCTGATATTATTATTATTTTTTAACGTATTAAAATTTATCATTTTTCTTTCTTAAACAAATTTCAAAATTTTCAAAATAATTTTTGCACAATAAACAACCAATAAGTCGGAAAAAAACAAAGAGAGGTTTGTGTGTTATCAGGTAAAAAAACATTAGGAACATGTTACTGTTCTTTACTTATTATCTTTTACTCATCTTTCTACAAAAACCGTTTTGTTTCTTAAATTTATATTTTTAACGACAGACTTTCTAATTTTTCAGATACCCGGTGTTATATCTCAGGATTACGATGGTAAGTGATATTAAAATTATTACATTGACTACAAAACAAAAAAAATTTTAAATTTAAAGACTCACAGTTTTTTTTTTTTTTTTTTCTGAAAATTCCATTTCAGTTTCGGAAATACAATGTACATTTTCGGGAATAGGTGATGGGAAAAATAGGGATTCTATAGCGGCAAAACTTAAAAAACCCGAAGGATTTCGCGGTTCACCTTTGTTTGCGGACGATAGAAATGCTGATCCTCTAACTGATTTACAATGTCAAATAAGACCGGATCATAATGATGCCACCGAATTAACTTATAATCTCCTAATAACCGATTTCAATCGGTGTGGAGTTTTGAAAAGAAATGTACGTCCTTCTTTTTCTTTTTTTTTTTCATCATACAAACCAAAAAAAAAAAAAAAAAAATTAACGTTTTATTGTTTTCTTAAGGGATTCGTACACGTTCGTATTTGGTTTCCACAATTTCCCGGTGTTGTCATGATGTCCGATCAAGAACTTATATTAATGTGTAAACCACCAGAACCTACAGTTATTGAAAATAAAGCAGCTGGTTTTGCTGGAAGTTTGTAAGTTCAAAAACAATCTTTTAAAGTCGACCTGACTTAACTAAAACATAAGCACCTAATTAACCATTAAAAAATTTGTTTAGTCCACACGGTGCAAGAGTTTCTGGTGTTGTTGAAGAAACTCCCGGACATCTCGAATACGAAGTTGCTTTGTATAAAGAAGCACCTGCTAGAATAAGCACCAACACAACGAGTGAACTACCCGTTGATCAAGCGGTACCGATCGGTACAAAATTACAACTTAGAGCCAGAATAAATCCTGATTCAGGTATGTGTATAAAAAAAAAATTAATTATTTTCCCCGATTGAATTTTAAATAAATAATTTTTTTTTAAAGCTTGGAAATACGTTAAATTAATGGAAGTGACCGTTTCTCCAGATCCGGATGATCCTCACAAAGCCGGAAGTGTTGCACTCGTAAAAGATGGGTAAGATCAATAAAAATTTATT